GCCAGTGGGGTTGTTGGGGGAGCAGATGCTGATGAGTTTGGTGATGCCGGGGCGAATGGCGGCGGCGACGCGGTCGATGTCCAAGCGATACTGCGATTCAAACTCGAGGTCTATGAAAGTGATGTCGCATCCGATGGAGCGTGGGATCTCCAGGTTGGTGGCGTAGTTTGGACGAGTGACGACGACGTGGTCTTTGGGACCGAGAATGGCGGTTTTGATGATGAACAGCGACGTTGAAGCGCCTGCTGTGACGAGGACATGGTCCGGGTCGATCGGCCTGCCCGAGGCTTCGGCGACGAGACGGCGGATCTCGCGACTGCCCCGGTGTTCTGTGTAGGTCAGAGCAGTATCTGGGGGGAAGGTGATGGTCAACGACTTCAGTGTCTGATCTGATATGGCGCTCTCTGAGAGATTGTACTTGATCACGGCACCGACCTCCTCAGGCGCCTCCTTCTCAATGGGCATTCGTTGGTAATTCATCTTGTTGAGATCACTCTGGAGAAGGAACAGGGGACAATGGGCAATGGACAAGGGACAAGGAGTGCTTCTGCTTCGGGGGATGAGCGCGAACGGTGAAAATAAAGAGGGGGAAGGCGGGGCGGATTGAAATGTCGGACAACAGAGTCCTTAAACCGGACCATGACTGGTGAATGCTCGGTTGGACGAGGAGCAGCGTCCTAGAAGACCCCGCTATATGTACCTCAGACATTGATAACCATTAGAGTTACCCTTTGTGGTGTAGTCACAGTCTGCATATGGATAGGTACACCAACTGAACAACTTAAAGAATATGGCTAAAGACGATGCTGATGCCATACAATCTCCGGCCCGTTAAGCCCCCCCTCCTCTCTTCAGTCACTTCACAAGCGCTTCACCTCGTTTCTTTATCCTCAGTATCCGTCCTTTGCCTCCCACCAAGTCAATCATTGCTGCCCTCTCGCCATGGGGTCCAACATGCCCGACGAGCCCGTAGCGAACCGCGCTGCCAGCACCGAAGCCGCCCTGCTGGCTGAAAAGAATTTCTCGGCCCGAAACTATCAGTCGCTCCCCATCGTCTTCGCCCGCGCTCAGGGTGCCTCTGTCTGGGATCCCGAGGGAAATCACTATCTCGACTTCCACGCTGCTTCAACTGCCCTTAACCATGGCCACTGCCACCCGAAACTCGTCGCAGCGTTGGTTGACCAGGCATCACGATTGACCCTGACCTCCCGCGCCTTCCACAACGATGTATACCCCCAGTTCGCGGAGTTTGTGACCAAGCTCTTTGGCTATGACCGGGTCCTGCCGTCGAGTACTGGCGCCGAGGCGTCAGAAACTGCAATCAAGGTCGCGCGCAAATGGGCTTATAAGGTCAAAGGTGTTCCGCAGGACAAAGCTATTGTCCTTGGTGTCGCAGGTAACCACCATGGACGGACCGTGAGTAGCACCCTGGCTTAACGTGAACAAAACACGATCGTGGGCGAACCTTATTGACATCGATGTTTGTCTTATAGTTAGCCACGATCTCTTTGGCCTCTGATAAAATGTCGCGTGAAAACTATGGTCCATTGGTTCCGAATATCAGCTGCTCAATTCCTGGGACCGACAAGTTGATCGCCATCAATGATAAGGCAGCGCTACGAGATGCCTTTGAGGCAGCGGGCTTCAACTTGGCCGCCTTCATCATCGAACCAATCCAAGGAGATGCAGGCGTCATTGTGGCCGATGATGACTATTTACAGGAGGCAAGAGCCCTCTGTGACAAGCACAATGTTCTGCTAGTCTGTGATGAAATCCAGACTGGCATTGCGCGGACTGGAAAGCTCCTTGGTCACTACTGGAGTGGAATCAGGCCTGACATGGTACTATTAGGCAAGACCATGACAGGTGGCATGTGCACCATGTCCTGTGTCTTAGGAGATAACGAAGTGATGCTTACCGTCGAGCCCGGAACCCATGGCTCAACTTATGGTGGTAATCCGCTCAGCGCGGCAGTTGCCATGCGTGCTCTCCAAGTTGTCGAAGAAGAAGACCTGGTCAGACGTGCAGACCGTCTTGGTCAGATCCTTCGTACCGGTCTGACTGCTATCCAGGCCCAGACTCCGGGCCCTATTATCCAAACGGTCCGCGGTAGAGGGCTGCTCAACGCGTTCGTCATTGATCAGTCCAAGGCCAATGGACATACAGGCATAGAACTGTGCGAGCTGATGAAACGGAAGGGCCTTCTGGTAAGCAACCATCTCCGCAGCGGATTTTCTTTTTTTTTTTAGTATACCAGGCTAAACCCTCTTTTCTGCAGCTGAAATCGAGTCGGACAGGCGTAATTCGCGTCGCGCCTCCCCTTGTCATTTCAGACTCTCAACTCGACCAGGCGCTGGAGATTATCAAGGAATCCATACAGGAGCTTCTCGCTCTCCCCGCAGCTGCGTAGGACAAGGCTGCCTCTTGGGAAAATGGGCTTTCGGAGACTGACATCGGGGAGACAATACTGGAGGGTTGTCTATACCATCTATGAATGATACTGTGGGAGTAAGCAATAACCACAATCACTAGAATGCCAACCGCTGTCAAGAAAACGGAACATAAGCTATTAATTAGTTCTCCGTGAATGTAGGCATGCTTAAACCATCAAGGCGCCAATGTACTGTCTTGGTTCCAGATATCTTCATAGACTACGCATCATACCGTTATTCATGCCAGTCAACCTATCGGCGTAGTTCTATGAACTCTACCGGATCCCCGATAACTCCCACAACTTCGTCGTCTGCATCTTCATGAAACCACTTACATCCAAAACCTCCGTCTCCTCCCCACAAATCCTGTCCTCGCTATCCAGCGGGAAAAACATATGAATCGCCTTCATCATGGCGGTCTTATCCGACCATGTCCGGGGAACAGATTCGTGCTCTCTCAACGTCCTCAACACAGTTGGCAACTGGTACGCAGGGAGGCTCATTTTCGTAGCCATATCGTTCCGGATAGCCCGTAAATCCACTCCCTTACCACTGTCTTTCTTGTGAAACCGCACGAGCGCGGCTGTACGTGTGTCACACTGTGGATCTGCAACGGGCATGATATACCCCTCTGCGACGTATGGAAGTGCCGTGAGGGCAGCCTCGACTTGACCTCGGGGAACCTTGTAGGTGTAGAATTTGAATACTGCCACGGGAATGATGATTGTCAGCCGAGGCAGGAAAGCTAGAAAGAGGCGGGAGGGAATACTGACGATCCATGTTTGCCCTTCCTTTGAATATGTACCGTCCGTCTTGCAGGATGGCTAGATCTCCAGTCTTGAAAAAGCCTTCCGGGTCCAAACGTTTTGCCGTAGCATCGGGGGAGTTCAAGTACCTGCAATACAAAACTTGTTAGTACCTTTTATTATCGCGAGAAAAGGATATACCTCGACTCACCCGAGGAATAAAGACGGCGTCTTGACAAGGACCTCCCCTTCCTCGCCTTCAGATAGCTTCATTCTCACATTCGGAAGTGGTGTTCCCAGATCATCCTGGTCACGGCTGTTAGCCATATATCCATAGCGGCCCAGAGCCAACGGGGCACTGGTAATAGCGATGTCGAAGTCGCACCTCTACATCCCCCGACTCCATATTGCACATAGCTATCTCCTGCGTCTCCGTAGACCCATACAGCACCTTCAACGGCCGACCTCCACGTATCTCTCGCCAGAACTCCTTAACCCGACCCGAGGGCATTGCACCCGTTGCACACGCATCACGCAGGTACTGCGCCCCCATCACATACTCATCAACAACATCGCGCGGCAACTCGACAGACAGATGCTTCTGAAAATACACCATCATGCCATACCAAAAGGTCGGAGACAACACGATCTTGGTAGCCGTTTGCTCGCGCAACTTCTCCCAGATCAGATAATAGTTTCGGCCGAAGTTGTGGATCTCGACGCGGATGCCCGTCAGCAGCATCTGGAATAGCTTTGTGAAGTAAATCGACCAGAATGCGCCGCGCGGGATGATGCACAGCTCGTCGTTGGACTGCGGTGCTGCTTCGTCTTGTCGGGCGTACTTGTTTATTGTTCGGCGGGCGTGCAGTACGCCCTTTGGGGGGCCAGTTGTTCCTGATGTGAAGAATAGTATACTCGGGGTTTCTTCGGATACTGCGAGGGCTGGGTCGAGGGTATAGCTTGTGACCGGGAGGAGGTTGTTGTTGTCGGCGGCGTCTTCATTGCTTTCGATGATAAGAGAAGGGATCTTGACTTGCTGTTTGATCTGCGCAGCGAAATTGGCCAGCTCCGAGGTGGCGAGGAGATATCGTGCATCGCATTGCTGAAGAATGTACGATGCTTCTGCAGGGAGCGCGCCTGTTGCTGTTGTTTTTTAATACGCACATTGCTAACCACCCATGTTTCCAGTCAAACATGTTCTATAACGGGGAGACCTTACGCATCGGCACGACTACTCCGCCAATTGCCAGGATAGCAAGAACCCCAATGATAAATTCATATCCATTCGGAGCCAGGAGAGCAACATAGAAACTGCCGGGCTTATCTAGCTTAGGCGTGTCGAGGTGTTCTTGTAGCCTCTGTTTTAGTTTCACGGTGCCATCGAGGATTTGACGGTAGCTGAACTGTGTGCCACGGCTGGTGTCATTGACGATGATATTCGCATCTCTTTGCCTGGCTATTTTCAGGAGCCTGGAAAAGAGAACGTCGTCGGGAAGGGTAGGAGGTCGTAGGACGTGGGCCGTCATGATTGCAAGAGTATGCAGGCGTGAGGATTGAGGTGTCAGAGCTCAGGAACACTGGTACACCTGGGGATTTATTGATATTTGTGAGAAAAAGGGACCTGCTGCGGTTACACAGCAGAGTAGAGTGGGCGCCTCAGGGTCACAACACTATAAAGCTACTGTGCAGCTCATACCTTATTTGCAAACGCATCATTGAAGCCTGTAATAAGCCCACTATCTCAAGACATACTCTAGCAGTAGCTAACAGCAGCAGCAGCCGAGAGTCTCCAGATAATTAATAACCCCAATTCAATCGCCCTCTAAATTGCGTACCACCACAGCCTTGTCGCAACGTAGTCAATAACATCTTGGACTTTTACAAGACGGCCATGCGTTAGTCGCCGGAAGAAATTATAATAGAACAATCGATGACCTACTCGTAGTGAATCCGTCCGTATCCTCGTCCGTGATATAGATATCAAACCTCTAAGCCCCACGTTAGCAAGATCACTCACAAGCTATCTAACAATCATGGCCGTCGAACCTCTTGCAGGGCGGTTAATATCTGTGGCCTTCCAAGGCCGCCTACGGCCAGGCCATTCGTAAGGTCGGCGTCGGTGGTCAGCTAAACGGAGATCATGTTCAATACAACTCTGTGGATTATGTTTCCGACAGCATACCTCATCGACGGGCACTTTGAACTGTTTTGCGATGATGGCTTTCACGTTGCTTTCGAGGTTCGCCATTGGGGACTTGAACAAGTGCTTCGCTGGAATTGAACGGACTAAACAGCCAAATGGATGATAGTGGGATGTCGGAGTCGTAAGAGACGGGAACCTTGGTGCAGGGCGAGTTTTTGTTTAAAAAATAAGAGTAAAAGCAATAGTAACACTATATAACAACAGTCGTTCAAGCTACTATTGTCTATCTCGAATACCACTCTCCCTATGTCGCTGCAGATCAAGGTACCTGTGAGATTTCCCTTCCTTCCACCGAGCCACAAACAGTGTCGTCATGTCGAAGAAATCATTGCGCTGACTGAATTGGGACACCCGTTCCAGCGGCCGCATCAGTGTACGTCTGCAATGACTGGACGGCCGACGTGCAGATCGCATCAATGTCCCCATGGATGATGAACGCATTCCAGCCCATCTCTCTCCTAAGCTCCACCCCGGAAGGTGAGATGCCGAATCCCATAATGGGAAGGTGATTGGCCTTTGCCGCATCTCGGATCTTGCGAAGTGCAGAGAGAAACACAGCTTCATCGCCGTCGAGCGATCCGTGGGCTAAGTTCAGACACATGCGCAGATCGCCCGTGCCGACGAACAGACCGTCCACTGCAGAAGACCAGGTGTGGAGTGTTAGCGCATGGGCTGCAGACTCATCTAACAGATCGTTAGACGGTTTGAAAGAGAGACGTACCACCTGGGACCCGGCAAATCTCTTCGACATTCTCCAGCCCCTCTAGATCTTCAATCTGGCAAATCACAGCGGCATGTTCATTCCATACGTCATACGTTGTCTTTCCTTCTGGGGTTCGGTTCTGCTGCTCGCCGATCAGAGCTGCAGGGGGGAAGCTGCGGCCGCCCAGCGGTGGAAACCGGCACAGCTGCACCAACTCCTCTGCCTGTTTTGCATTCTGGACGTGTGGCATAACCACTCCGCCAGCGCCAGCGCCCAGGGCGTAGTTGTATAGCTCGGGTGAGCATCTTGGGATCCGGACGAATGGTACCATGGAGCCACTCGAGTGGTATTGGATCGTTCGGATCAAACTGACGAGGAGGGTTGCGTTGAGAGGCGCGTGTTCCTGTACGAGACTCAGATTCTGGGTAGGAAGTAATATTTCGCAGCAGGCACATTGGGGCTTACCGCGTCCAAGAAACAAAAATGGTACGGCGTCGCAGCAACAACTCGTGCCGCCTCTGGATGGGGGATTCGACATCCAGTGCCCCAGAGCAGCTCGCCGGAATTCAGCATGGCCCTGAAATTCGTGGGCTGGGCCAGGCTCAAGGCATTGTAGTCCTTTGTGTTGAGCATTTTGGCTTTCTGCTGTATGTGGTGTGGTGAGGATAGGGACGATTCGTTGGATTAAAAGAGACTAAATGCATTCCCTCTGTTTATGAATATATCCTGTGTATGCATCAGTTTGTACTGAACAGAGGCAGGGGTGGTCTGTGTCTTTTTCGACAGAACTTGGTTGCACACAGCTAAAAGCAGTTCTCGTCATCAGGTTTCTATGATCCGCTAAGTAATACCACTGTCTATCAGGCGAAACCATGGGAAGAGGCGAATATTTAAAGGTTCTACGTCTTCTTTAAATCTGCGATTCAACCATCCACCGTACTTATATCACCATTCACGGAGTCGTTAATCTTCAAAAATGGCGTTTCCCACGACCACCCGAGCAGAGCTAAACTCGATCTCTCTCGCCGGTCTTCTAGAGGGCGACGTCGATGCAGTGAACGATCTCGTGTCGGCATGCAAGACCAATGGATTCTTTTACCTTGACTTCCGCGATGCCCGCACATCCCAGACGTTGAAGCAGGTGGATGAGCTCGTTGACGTCGGAAACTCGGTTTTCAAGCTCCCACTCGAAGAAAAGGAGAAGTATAGCACCGAGAAGCATCTGCCATCAAGGCTTCAAGGGTACGTTTTTGCCTTCCCCCATTGCAGGGTTTCGTTCGCGGTAATGACGTGGAGTGCTAGATATAAACGAGCCGGCTGTTCTGTTGGACCCTTTGCTGAGAAGAAGGATGGCTACGAGAGCTTCTCGGTATGTCCCTTCCATTCCCGCCTCGCAAACGTTCTCTAGCTCAACATGTAGATTCACAACAACGGCGTCTTTGGGGACGACATCCTGCAGCTCCCTCAGGGCTTCCAGGAAAACCTACCCTTGGTGAAGGCCTTCATGAGCCAAGTCCACCTCTACACCGAATGCATCTTGTCCATCCTCTCAAAGGCTCTTGATCTCCCTTACGACCTGAAAGACTGTCACCGGAAGGACAAGCCATCTACTGCCAACATCGCCCTACTCAAGTACCTCCCATGGAGCAGCGACGCCGAGAAAGTCGGCAACATGGCACACACAGACATGGGGACGTTGACTGTCGTCTTCACCCAGTCCGAAGGGCTCCAGGCGTTACTCCCTGGGCCATCCGGAACGGACGAATGGTCGTACATCCCTCCGCGACCTGGACACGCCGTTGTGAACGTTGGCGACTCGCTGCGTTTCTTGTCCAGGGGGCAACTAGTCTCGTCTCTGCATCGTGTCGTGCCGCCGCCTCTGCCGCACTCGCCCGGACAGGACAAGTTCTCGTGCATCTACTTCCTGCGACCGGAATTCGATGTGAAGTTTACGGACAATTCTGGGAGGCAGATCAACAGTGTCGAGTGGCATAATCAGAAATATTCTCTGTTTCGTGAGGCCAGTCTTGATCCGACGGTGCATGGCGCCATGTTGACTGGGCGTAAGGGGTATCTTGGGGCGGCAGAGCAGACTGTCTAAGAGGGGACCGGGTTTCCATAATCGACGGTGATTGATTCTCAACGTTCGTATCAATTCATGTTCAGACCTGTAGTATCCATAAAGCGGTAGCCACTGTTGGTAGATGAGCTGAAGCGTTTTAGATACGTGCAAGAGTCCTAACCAGAACGAAAGTGGTGTTATTGTCCGCTACGAAAAGAAGTTCGTATGCTGCACATGGATGGGGGGAGTGGCTCTAAATTGTGACAGATTGTCGGTATAATTTGCATCCCGATACAACTCATCAAATTGATCCATGGCAGCATTATATCCAGCATTGTCAAAAAGCCCTGAATAGGGGGATGGGCTCAAATCCACTGCTTCCTGTTAGCGTGCAGACTTGGGGACGCAGGAAAGTTATGACGTACTGTTGCTGAACGGATCATTATATGGAACCGCATAGTCATCTGCTATAGAACGGCAGATACTGACACTGGTGGGCTGGCCTAGTGGATTCAGCGTATTATTGCCGTCCGTACTGGCAGCCAGCGACTCCGGGGGTGTAGGGTTTTGGCCGGGCTGTGCAGTTCGTGCATTGCTTGGTAGGAGGCTAGGGCTCGACGTCATCCGCGGCGACTTGCGGGAACCCGGCATGATCTCTCCTTAATTGGATAGATAAGCATTGTGACGGCTCACTCTGACGATTCAAGGCCTTACCAGAAACATCCTTGCGCTTCCTGCCTGTCATATCTCTCAATGTCGCCGCGATGTGGTCGCCCAGTGCTGAGAGTTCAAGGTCTCTCACCAGGTCATCGATACCCAGACTCTTCAGTTTGATGACGGATGCGTGCTTTCCCTCCTTGGTGCATCTTGATGTGTACCTGGAGGGACTTGCTGAGACTGAGTTGCTTGAAGAGGGGTTGGGGTGTTTTGGGGGTTGGGGGGTGGGGAAAGATGGGGGGAAGCATACGCTGAGTGAGGCACGTCTAGAGGTAATGCGATAAGATATCCCAAGTCGGTTGGGTTGTTCCTGAAATTGTCGGCCCACTCACGGTACTTGCAGCCGTGATCAACCCAGTTCAAGCTTTTATTAGCGGCCTTTTGGTTGTGGAACCGGTGGGGAAATTCCTGGCAGAGCTTGTTTGCTAGTGCAGTGCGCAAATCCCGGATCCAGTGTGTGCCTGTGTGGAACCCGGCCTCGACAACGTGCCGGTAGATGTTGTAGCATTCAAATCTATGGTAGATCTTCATACAGTCGCGCATGTCCGCGTTATCTTCTTTGGTGGCTATCGCGGCTTCCCAGCCCTGCCCGGTTGGGAAGGCCGCTTTGGCTTCTCCGATCGCACGCAGGAATCCTCCGCGGTCTGTTTTACAGTCTTCTAGGAGGCGTCTGATCCTTGGCGAAAATGTTATTGTGCTGAAAGTGTCATCTTCGGCCGCAACGTGGAGGGGCGGTGGCACTCCTGTAGCCGGCGGTGTTGGACTGATGGCTGCAGGGGTTGCGGTGGTATTTTGATCATCGATATCCGAGCCAGGAGTGGTGCTTTGGCTACAAGGGTCGGACTCTTCCGGCCTCGGTCGGCCAAATGACACGTCTGCCTGGCAATCATTTGCCTCGGGGATCAGCGCGCGAGCAGGGTGGACTTCGGGCGACCTTTGTTGGCGGGCATGCGAAATAGGAGAAGGCTGCTGGGCACCAGCTTTGGATGCCCGAGAAGACACCGAAGGCACATCGTCTTGTCTTGCAGGTGGAGCGTGGCAGGAAATAAACCGGTTCTATCAGTTCGAGCTGGAATTATCATCCCAATACGGCGGCACCGAACCACAGGAAGCAAGGGGCACTAACCGTTTTGCGGTGCAACCATAAGCTGAACAGGCGGTCTAAAGCTGAGCTCTCTGTCGCTGGAAGAAGCTCCAGACACTTCGACACTTGATCAGCCGAGATGCTGGCCTCATTGGCCCTGTAGAATCGAGCCAGCTGGACTAGTAGGTCTTGTAGCCCTGTTTTCGAGCTCATGCTGGCACCCTGAGGTCCCCAAGCTCCAGGATCCTTATCGCCATATAAGTGCTGGCGGACAGAAAATCGGTCCTCGAAGCATTGATGTGATCCTTCATCTCTGTCTGCAGGTGGTGCATTTTCATCACATTACTGACCCACATCTGCATGATTTTGTGTGTAATTCATGCAGATGTGGGTCAGTAATGTGATGAAAATGCACCACCTGCAGACAGATGCTGGTCAATCACTGCGGCCCGGTTCGCATCCTCCAGTCCCTCTCAGAGCTCTTCTCTAGTGCTTGTCTATCCTCATCAAGGCTGGCTGAAGGCTTCCTGAGATACACCCGTAGTGCGTTGCTTATAAGCCTTCTTGCTTCTTGTTTGCTGTAATTTCTATTCCAAATCGGATACATATCCTGCTCGATTTTTCCATCATTGTTCCAATAATGACTATCACCAAACATCGGCGCGACTTTGACATAGAGACTGTTCGGAAACAATTCCCGGGCCTTGACAAAGGGTCCGTCTGCCTGAACAATGGCTCCGGTGCTCTGGTGTACAAGGGTGTCATTGAGAAGTAGGTTCTTCTCGCCAACAGGAAGAAATGGGACGAAAGATGTATTAAATTGACAATCAACAATCAATAGCATTGTTCGTACCATGTCTGCACCCCATATGAACCTGCGTGGTCTGGACTCAAAAAGTACGGTCGACGTCAAAGAGCGTGCTGCCCAATACGCGAAGCTTGCTTCCTTCATGAATGCGGACCCTGATGAGATCGGTAAGCGATCGTCTTATAACTAGATCGGATACTCAATTCCCCGTCTGACCCCCGCTCTGCTAGCGTTTGGCCCCTCCACGACGGGTCTTGTACGGAATCTGGCCGCCTCTCTCCGCCCTAGTCTCAATGCAGACTCAGAGATTGTCGTGTCCGTGCTCTGTCACGAGGCAGACGTCACTGCGTTTGTTGCCCTGGCCAAGACTCTAGGCATCTCGATTAAGTGGTGGGCCCCGGCCGGGGGCATGGGAAACAACAGGGATCCTAAACTTAGCCTCGACACCCTTCGACCTCTCCTGTCCCCTAAGACCCGTCTTGTATGCTGCGGGCATGTGTCCAACATCACCGGAACTATCGAGAATATCAAGGAGGTTGCAGACCTCGTCCACACAGTCCCTGGCGCGTTGATCTTGGTGGACGGGGTGGCATGGGCTCCTCATCGCCCGATTGACGTGAAACAACTCGGGGTTGATTTCTATGTGTTCAGCTGGTACAAGGTATTTGGTCCTCATATTGCGCAGATCTATGCTCGCCGCGACGTCCAAAAACGTTATCTTACCAGCCTCAACCACTACTTCTTTGACTCGACCGCTCTGAATGTGTGCTTGGGACTGGGAAACAGCTGTATTGAGCTCGAGCACGCGGTCACCCCGATCATCAGTTACCTCGCGGATGATGTTGGTTGGGATGCTCTCATCCGCCATGAGGAAGTCATCACAGCTGAGATCCTTGCATACTTGACTGCGCATCCGGATCTGTATACTGTGTATGGATCTCACTCGGCAGACCCGACAGTTC